CTACCGTGTTATGTCGAAGAACTTCGGCGAGATATTTTGCTCCTACATCGCCGATTCGATTCCAAGCGAGACGAAGTGCAATCAATACCTATATGAAAGAGAAGAATTGTTTTCTAAATCAGCTGAGCGCAATAGAGCGGCAAAGTCTATATTAAAGTAACTGGGTCCATACGACTTTGCTTTGGAATTGTAGAACAGATCTGTCTTTTGAGCAGCGTACTTATATCACAAGATGTATCCGTAAGAGCTCACAGTACAGATCTCGATTTGATATGGAATGATATCGTAGGCAGAAAATAAGTGAAATCAACTCAACAATCTATATAGAGTTTATTCGATGGGTTATACACATCTGTAGCATAGATGAACGAAAAAGAAACGAATAGATTCATGCAAGAAGATTGAAACAGGTTTTCATGCGTTTTATTCTTGAACTTTGCTTAATGCACCTCGTCCTATAGAGAAGCAGGGCTAAAATACAGAGTAAAAGAACAGAGAGCGATACAAAATGTCGATAGTACTTTGTTAGCAACTTAGATTTGATATTTAATAGAGAACTTCATTGAATCCTTTGAGATTTACTTTCCTGTTATAGACGAAAGAGATATTTTCTAATCATTTTTAATTGAAGACATATTAAAGAATACATAGAACATTTCGATAGCAAAGAAACTGACGATAATAATGAACAAGTTAAAAACTGATTTCGTCGGTAGACGAAGACATCGTTATGGCAGCTTTTGGTAAACTGGTACGAGCAAATTTTTCAACACATTTCATCGTAATCGTTTAAGTTTCTTTTTGTCGTTCATTTCTTTATTGCTGTTTTTATCGCATATATGATTACTGGCATTACATTTAATCAGCTTATGCTATTTGAGGATGGGTGAAGAGAAGACCGTCATCCTTTCACATCATCAACAGAGGAGCTTAATACTGCTCTTGAACGTGTTTCTCTGATGCAAAAATACTTAATTTAGAGAAAACTTCAATGCAGGAATGTAGCTCTTACTTCATCAGCGAACGATCACTACCAAAAATGCAATAAACAAACTGATGATTCTACTCACTTGATTTGTTTGAATGGATTGAGTGAGAATGGCAACACCTATGTCAGTGATCTGATTGCCACTCAAATCCAATTCTGTACTTTCATTTTGCAGGAACAACTCGTATATCACGTGCTGCATATGTACATCGGTCAGTTTCTGAAAATGGTAGGACAATTTCACTGAAGTTGTCGGCTTTGAAACCACTACTGTTGCTATTGATGATGATTGCTCATCGACCTCTAGCATTTCATGTACATCTAGAGCCATCTTTTGTAGAAAATTTTATATCAGTCACAGCTCGAAACATACACAAAAAATTGTGAAAAAAAAACATATTCTCCATGAGGGTTCGTGGACAGTGCGCGACTAGAATCGTGTCAATAGTACAATGTTTCCAAGTATGTGGTCTATCTAACTCTATGATTCATGAAGAACGGATCTGACCGATTAGAAACCATTGTAACAAGTCTGTTGAACTTGAAAAAACACAAACCTTCCATATATTCGTTGAAAAGGACTAGAAGCTTATTTTTTCAAGTTACAAAATGCCCATGTGTGTTTCCTATCTCAAAAGTTTTAGTAGCTTGCTAAGCCATTTAAAATTCAGCAACATATCTATTTTTTCTACAAAGTATCTATTTCAGTGTGTCAAATTTTAGGCCGAAATACCATCATTCTGTTTTTCTTCGTGTATTTTTATTCAATTAAAATATCCAAAGATCTGGCTGACTCTACATACTCTATTCTATGAAACAATATATTGGCCACACTTTAATGTGAAAAAATTCTGGCATAATCAGTCTTTCTATAATCAATGTTTTTATCATACATCTACGACCATAGACTCTAAGTATGTACTGTACTGCTATATTTCGCATAGAAACAGTATAATTTCTTGTTGCCACTCTATTCTTTCTTACCATTTAATAGCACCTGCGAAATACAATAAAATACTTTGTTGTCTAGCTGTGCATGTCATGTTCGTAGAACAGACGACGAACACGTATTTATTTACTTGTGAAGGCATCCCGAAGGTACTCATTTTGTAAATTTCTTGCGTGTGTCGAATGAAAAAAAAAGAAACAGAATTTCAAGCTTATGACAACATAGTGTGTTTTATCGTAATAGTGAACATGCACCGTACATTTCTACAGCATCAAGATGTCGACACTTACCGAAGAATTTCTGTTCTATAGAGACTCTTTAAACGTAGTTGAGGAACCTATTCTCCTTTTTTTCTATCGAGCTACAGATTTATTCTCATTCTGGCTACTGTTGCAATGCACGATAAAGGAACTGTCACTGATCATGCATCGTATATTGAAAATTTCTACGGATCAACACAAGCGAAACCATGTGCCTATCTAGCAGCTTTAGCAACGAGACTTACAGCTAACTAGAGATGAGCATGAGGTTTTGGGTGAGGGCGTAGCTGTTCAACTCACTAACATTTACTCACCGTACCATCCATACCTTCCAAATTTAACATTTGAGTTTATATAGAGGGGTCTTCTTTATTTCCTCTTTCTTATTGTCAGCCAGAATCTTACACCTACATCTTTGTTACAGACTTTTGTCTTTGCTTTGATTTGTAGGAATTTTGACTATCTATGAATAAAATTTGCAGAAAATACGATGCATTATTTTTTAGTTTTGTTATTATAGTAATTACACAAAATATTGTTTACCTAATATTTTAATCATGACGATCGTCATCAGAGCAGTTGTTTTAATAAGAATCAATAGTACTAAAATTGATATTCACATCATTAAAGTTGATGTTATTCATATTCATTTCTAATTACTGCACAGATTTTATCTATTAGACAATGTTGAAATTGTAGACATCTATTGGAATAAAGTTTAATGAGAAAATAAAAGACAGAATGGTTAAGTTAGTTCAATTTTGCATGTTTCCAAGATAGCGAAATAAAACTTAGCTTTATAATGATTTAGTTTTTGGAACCTGCAACCGGTTCAAAAACGTTATGTTTATTTATTTCTAGATTAGCTGTTTTTCTCAAATATGCTTATTCAATAAAAAAAATGAGTGTTTTATGGAGATACAAAGTATGTATCAAAATGACATCTAGAAGATCTTTTTAGTTCTACAACGATATAAAAATGTTTTATTACTTTTGCGAACCGTATCGATAAATCCTTCAAATTTATATAGATTATCAAATCTACATCGTACCATGCGCTTGTAAGATATAATATATTGTGACTAGCACTGTACTAAGAAACTATGACAACATCGTAAAACTTTTTTCTAAAAGTTCTAAAAAAATATTAATCACTAACACACGATTTAAGATTGTTTGTTCGAATGATGACATCTAAATTATATTGATAGCGATGTTTTGAATCAAAAAAAAGAGAATTAAAACAATTGCTAACGCTGGTGTTCTTGTGATAGAGTGATGTTAAAATGAAAACTATTTTCTATGTTCGTTCCAAAGCATGTTTATCAGAAAGGCAAAAAATTGAGCAATTGTGTTGCAGTTTCTTAGTATTAGTTGGAGCTATGTCATGTAGAATTTTACAGTTAATTGAAACTATGAAAGTACAATAATCTATATATGCTCAAATAGACTTGTCAATATTTTACAGAAGAAGAATAATTGATATAAGCGTTGCAGAATTGTTGAAACCATCGCTACGGTATTTTCAGATAATGGAAACAAATAACTTTATGACACTGTCACTTTTATGTTAGCTCTGAAAAATACAGACTGGGTTAGAAAAACAGAATCCAATAAAATCACGATACTTTTCCTAGTTGAACTCGTACATGCTCACGGATTGGGTCGTTTTCAGGGCTCTAATACAAGCACATCTTTAATAACATTACAACCAAAATATAATTGTTTTTTTTGTTTAAAGATCTTATAAACCCGTGTTTCTTACTAAGTTGTACTATGAACTCAGTATATATAAATCATATTTTTTCCAAGTTGACAAAAGCTACTGATCGCATTAACGTTTATTTGACTATTAGAGAATCCTAATGAGATGCTATGAAATTCAAAACAAAGTCTTTTGTAATAGACAACATGTTTCAACTGATGAAGCATTTTATATTACCTCTATATCGAATGTAAGATGTGGCATCTGTATTACTATTTTCAAAGATGAGGAACCAGACGAACATGTTGTATGTTTAAGCACCTACATGATATATCTTTTCGTTTTTAGCTTTCGCCGTCGTAACAATATTAATAGTATAGAACGTATCACTTGTATTATGTCATGATCGATTTGTCATATTGATAAGTAAATACGCTGATAACTAAGCGTTTGTATCTTTCATTTATACTAAACAATGACATCAGTACGTTTTATCAGCAGTATTGAATCTATCATGTTTGATTTACAAGTTCGTACTTATAATGTAAAATGCATTTTGTATAAATTATGCTGGCACAATTTTACCGATGCTACAAACTGATTATATTGAAATGAGGAATATAAATGATAAACAATCTTCTATGAGAATTTATTTCGAACCACTAAAAAGAACCTGTTCTTCTTGAACATCTTAACGTTCATATTTAAGCTATTTATTCTCATTTAGTTTCTTTCATTGTTCTAAAATATGTTTAATTTTAATTCTAGTGTTATTTCAAGACAATACATATAGACTTAAAAGAAAGTGTACAACCTTGTTGCATTCCAAAGTTCCCTATCCTTCATAATGTAAGAGAAATTTTTTAAGAGACTAAAACTGTAAGCAAACGTATCAGATAAGGCAACTTCTTCTAGAACACGTGCTGCATATGCTACTAGCTTTTTTCTTTTACGTAGGTGACAATAACAGAGCCTTTTTTGTCTCCATCTTATCAATGACATCACACCACATCTATATATCTAACGTTTTCAGTGTTGTCTCATTACATGTTGTTGAGAGGTGTTACTTTGTGGCAATAAAAATACAGCTTACTAAAGATGCTTCGTTCTATCACTCTCGTATCATTTATTGTATTATCACTAACGGAAGAAGTTTTAGCAGAATGGTGTTATTATGGTACTAGTGTCTATTATTGTTCTTGTAAGTATGATTTCATCAAATTATGCTTGTTATCTGTATTCGGTAATTTTTTAGCTGGCCAGTCATGTGGCTCATATTATAATGATTGTCGTGGCTTACCAACTTATGCAATCGTCGGTATTGTTGGTATAAGTGTCGCTATCTTATCAATATGCATTCGATGTTGTGTGCAATTAAATTCTAACAATGCGCGGCAAGTACCACCAAGAGCACCAATATCAATACAAAATCCAGGACATGTGCGAGTTCAGGTTTTTTCAGCGGGAAATAATAGAGCCACACGGACACCAACTACTGCTCCAGTTCATTGTATTAGAGAAGATGCTCCTCCATCTTATGCTGCAGCTATATCGTCAACTACAGAGCCTCCGAAATATTAATCTTTTTATGATATGAACGGCTTTATATAATATGTTGCACTTTTTTATGTAATACTAATATTCAACAAAGAGAAAAAATAATCGTGACATTATTCATTGTTAATCATACCATCAAAGTCTTGATGATATAAATCTAATATATCATAAGGACAGTAAAATTAGCATCTGTATTCGTCACATGGTTGGCATCACTCATATCTCTCGGCAGTATTAAATAGTTGAATTTCTCTTTCCTTTGTAAAAATAAAGAGGTTTAGAATTATCTTAATAGATACTCTGTCAATAAACTCGATTTTCAAAGTTGATAGTTCATCTATGACAAGTCTAATTGGAGTATAAAATAAATTTTCGCTGTATTAATGGTGACTATCTATTTGAATTGCCATCTTTATTGATTTTGTTTCTGTCATGTACAAAGAAGATGAATTTGAATGTATAATGTGCCTGCTAACGATCCTATACTATACATGAATAATAAATACAAAATAACTAATATCTGTGCTAGCTGTAAATGATTCATTTTTATACAATATGTAATGTTGATTGTTATGAAAAGTAAAACTAGGTTTAGAACAATTATTGTTCTATTTAGTAGATAATAAAATTTCAACGATTTTTATCGCATGTTTTTTAGTGTAATATTATTATTATTCTAGTTACTATCTTTTATTTTTATAATTTATTTCAAGTTTTTCTATATTTGGTATTGGTCTAGGTAACCATGCTTTTTGTTCGCGAACAGCACGTTGTATAAATTCATATCGTTCATTAACTAAAAGGTAACGTTTCATAAAATAAGTTTCAAGCCATTCGATAGCAACTTGTGGCGGAAATACTTCATTCATTGATTCAATAAATGATGAAATAAATTTTTTTAATAATTCTACAGATGGTGTTAATTTTTCTAAACATTCTTCGCCACGTTTTATATGAATATAATTATATTTAACATGAAGATCAGTAACATATTTATCAACAAATGATTCAGCTTCTTGAACTTGATTCCAAATTTGAGATAAAGATATTACTGATTCATAAATACTAGCACCAGGAAATTTACATCTAAACATAAGAAGAGTTTTAAAACGAATTTCTATTCATTTTTCGTATTAGTTGATTGAATAAAAGAAGATGGAATCTAAACTTTTTCTGTAATTTGCTTTTATGATTTTTAGATCTTCTAAATGGTAAAATTTGACTAGATGTATCTTTTTCAAGATTTGCCCTATCTTGGTTCTTTTCTACTTTGTATTAAATGCAATAGTTATTTGCGAGTATCTATCAGGCATCGTAAAAACATGATTTAGTCCTCTTGAACTAATATTTCTCCAATAAACAATAAAGTAACATGTTAAAAAATGTCCAATAGATTGATCTTGTCAGTTGATTTTATAGAATATAAATTGTTTATTAAAATTTTCTCTAGAGAGAAATCCAATAGTTTTTAAAGAATAAAAAACGTTCAAATTGGCTTGAATATATTCTTTTTTGATGCAAAGAAGAAAAGAAAAACAACACGTTAACTTCAATTTTTCAAGGCCACGAATCTCGTAAAAGAATCATGAATCAATAAAAAATATCCTATAAGACATTTCGTTTTTTTTTATCTTCTGCTGATTGACTTACAAAGAAATCTCATCAAGTGACAAATCGCTTTTTATAAATGAATTTTAACTCATCAGATAGAATTGATTGAAACTAAAAATGGCCTACAACGATTTATATACATCAGTCTGTCTTCTTAATTTATGATTATGTTTATGAATTTTTCAAAGAAGGCTCATGATTGTCCACAAGCCAACTAATTCATCGTGAACAAATTGATCTATTCTAGTATTTTCTACTCTAACATATACATTTAAGGACAAGGTTGCTTTCTTTTTCACTGAACAGAATTTTCAATGTTGATATCTCATGATAGAAAATACTAGAAAATTTGATACTCTTTGAATGAATTTGTTGTGCTACGAAATTTTATTTGTGATAGATTTGAGTTCGAAAGTCGATTTTGAAGATGACCTAATGATGACTACGACTTTTTGTAGAAAACCTCTAAAACATAGCCATAATTCAAGAAGAAAGACTGATAGACAACGAATTTTTTTAGACTTTCTCTAATTTAAGCAGGGCTTATCTAATGAAGTAACACTTATTTCAAAAGCTTTTTATCACTTGTTAAGATTTTTTTGCCAATAAATAATTATTAACCTAATATATTTCAGTTCGCGTGCAAAGGCAGGCAAAAGTTTAGAACAGTCATTTTTTTAAATACTCTTTTCGATCAGATTACCGGTTTCCATACTTAGCTTTTCGAAAAAAATTCATTTGATAGAACAAATGATTCTGAGCAAGATGAAATGGCGTTTTCAACCTTCCTTCATCGAACTGTACACAATTTACAGAAAGCTCCAAAGTGTCAAACATGGCAAAAGCATATTGAAATTTTCAATAGAAGAGAAAATTATTTCTTGACCTTTCTGTAAATTGAATGCAGTTCGATGACAAAAGATCATAGAGAGATCGGAGATAACGTCTTATCTAGTTCAAAATCATTTGCTCTATCAACTAAAACTTTTACCCGAAAATTTTGAATGAAAGTTAGTTAGCTTGTTTTAGAGGTCTTGGTTTTCCCAACACCTATATTCGCTACTGTATATGTAGAATACATCAACGAATCAAGATTTGTAACTAAGTTTCAAATGTTTTGTTTCTTAAACACGATTGTTAAAAGCTATAACGATAAAATTGAACTTTCTCATTTATCACTAACATCGAAAGATGTTACTAAAATCTTATTTTAAAAAAAAAGTAACATAATCTTTTTATACATTTAACTCTCATGGGAAGTGCACGAACTCATTATTTTCTTAAAATCATTATAATAGAGTATAATACAATAAATTTTAAATAATTCAAAACAACTAACTTAGGTATAAGTTTCGTTGTATGATCTCTAATAACTACATGAAGTGGTGCTGAACATTCCAATAGTGTTTGTACATAATTGTGTAATTTATTTGAAAAAACATCAATATTTGGAAAAAAATCAATATTTGGAAGACTTTTAAATTGTTCTTGCCATGCAGCGATTGAAAAAGCCATTGATGGAATTGAATAAGGTAATAATTCACATAACGAAAGAAAATGATCATAACGTGACCATCCGGTTAAAATAATTCCATCAAAATTTTTCCATTTTGTTGGAATATATGAATGTAATTGCTTTATCCATGATATTTGGTCTAAACAAAAAAAAAAAATGTTAGCACAGCCTCTTTGAGACTAAAATTGGAAATTCACATGTCTTCTTTACGTTCATTAAACTAATACAAAATATGTGGTATTGATCGTATGACGACTGTGGCCATTCAAGTTTCAACAGAAGTTTTGGAATATTCTAGAGTCTTCTTGATCCGTTTAAGTTTTTTTGTTAATAGCGTTCAGCGCTTTCTTTCTATTGCTGGAGGATTGTGAGAAAAGAGTTTGGTGCGTTTTGTTGTCGATTGCTATTGGAACATGCCAAATGCCTGTTCACCCCTGATCGTTTATCTATTAAAAACATACTCATTCGACTCTGATTTTCGATCCCCATTGCTAAGAATGGTAGAGTCACAAAATTTTGACTTAAAACTTATGCTCCACATATTTTTGTTCGAAAAACATAATGTGAGCACTACAAAAATTTAACTAAAACAAAAATTTTCTTTTTCTTACTTTGATGATAACGTTTAACATCACTTATTGTCGCAATTTCATTTGTTGCACCTTTAAATGCTGTTGCACCCCATAAAGTTTTAAATTGTCCAAAAAAATCTGCTTGTGGACCAATAACAAATCCTTCTACACTAATATCTTCTCTATAAGACCATAAAACAGGATTGATTATATTAAGTAAATTATACTTTTGTAAAATTTCTAAATTTAAATTTTGTAAAACATCATGCCAAACAAATAAAATTATATTTGGAGATTTTCTTTTAATGTAATTGGCAATTTTACTAAGATGATAAGCAAATAAATCAAAATTTGTTATAATACCAGTTAAACGTTTGAATTCTTCACATGCAGGATTTGTTAGAAAATAATAAACTTCATCATGACCAATATGAAAATAACGTATATTTGGATGTAAACTTAAATATTGATCAATCATAGAAAAAAGGATTGTATACGTTTTATTTACACATGGTGTTATTACTTGAGGATATTTTGGATTTTCACGTAACTCATTAAATTCTTCTAATTTTAATAAAAATTCTAAATGACCTAGGAAAACAAGAAAAATTTCTTATGATACTGTTGAATCTTAATAGTAGAAATCAGTGTCCGACTCGAATCAGATTGCAAAGAAAATTTTGAATTTCGGAAAATCTACATTTTGAACGTTTTGCGAATACAAATGGCTTTGAGAATATTCTTCTTATTGAAAAGTACTATGCAAAAGTGTAGAAAAGCTTACTAGAATGAGATTATGCGTCGTTTGATCTTTTATTCTACTTCTATGTGGGATGCATGAAACAAGAAATATAAACAAGAAGCTATACTATCACATAATCTTGTTGTTCCAATTGTGAAATATCGGCGAAATATCAAGGACGAAAAAGAGATATAGAACTTATGCTTTGTTTCCAACTACAAAATGAAAGGATGAAAGAAAAAGGATTGAGAAATAGATTTTCTTCGGAGAAAGAGTAAAGTGGTCAATATTAGGGTCGGATTGAGTCACAGAAATTGGATCCATGTCGAAAACTGGTAGGAAACTGTCATTCAACTTCTTTTGTTTCTGCCTATCTATGGAAGGTAATCATTTTTTGGATTTATAAGCATTGTATTTACATATATTTGAAAGAACGAAATCTAGAAAATATCACATAAGTTTTCATATTTTTTTTTAGAACTAAACCTCATACAAAGAGATATTGAAAAGAATTTTGCAAGTATGGACTGAAGTAGTTAAAATATCGAAAATAGTATAACTCTCTGACATCTTCTTTTCATTA